ACATGTTGAACGGTATTTTGGATACAGTGGGTTCAATAAAATACACTGAAATAATTTCACTTGGTTTTTATTGACATCTTTGAAGGTAATAAATGCAAATGGCAAACCACAATTACTTTTGCACCAACCTAATACAAATGTGGCTTGTATTATATTTCTACTGGACCACACTGCAGTAGACCGTCAGCTCCATGAGGGCAGAAACCTTTTCTGTCTTGCCAATCATGGTATCCTTGCTATCTGACGTAGTGCTAGCTAAATATTTCTAAATAATCGAATAAAGGAATTGATATTGTATCCGGGTTTGTATTGAACCCTGAAACTTTGGCTAAAAGTTTCATGGAATCAGTTTGGATTTATTTTTCCATTCCTCTGGGTGACTGGGTATTTAATTCATATTACTATATTTCATGTCTTTAGTTTCACTAATGACAGGAAGTTGTGGCTGTGGCTACGTGATGTAATGTTGTTCCATTTACAAATATATTATCTGTAAATCTTTCTCATGTCTTTTCAGAGAAGAGATGTGAAGAAGAATAAATAATTCCCAAGCTAAGGGAAATTTAAAGCAAGAAAAGCAGGGAGGCCAACAGAAGTCAGGCCTTGATGGTTAAAAGGACCTATATTAGTCTTTTATTGTGGCATAAAAATTAATACAAATGTAAAGGTTTAAAATAGCATAAACGCATTAATTCACAGTTTCTGTGCGTGAAAAGTCTGGGCACAGCATGCTTTGATTTTCTGCTCATGGTCTCACTGAACTGAAATCAAAGTGTCTGGCCAGGGCTGCATTTCTCATCTGGGTTCAAGGCCTCTTCTCATTTCATTCGACTTGTTGGCAGAATTTGGTTTTCTTCTAGCTGTTGGTGGGCGACCTCTCAGCTCCTAGAAGCTGCCCACAGTATCTCGCCATGTGGTCCCCAAAGGCAGTTCACAAGATAAATGTTTGCTTTCTTCCAAGTCAGCTGGATCCTGTCTCTCTGACTTCTTCTCTCACCAGCCAGATAAAACTCTGCTTTTAAAGTGCTTATGCAACTGTTTAGTCCCGTCTAGATAATCATACCATCTTAAGGTCCTGATTTGGGACCTTAATTACATCTGCAAATACCTTCATAGCAGTATCTAGATTGGTGTTGGATTGAATAACTGGGAGAAGGTGTGTATACACCAGCGGCTGAGAATATTGGCAGGCCATCTTAGAATTCTGCCTATCACGGAAACTCAGACAAGGGCCTCCATCATTTCAGTGAGAAATAAATTATGAAAAGAAACTCTGAGTCTACAGAAGGAGCCAATTCTTTTGGAGCTAGAGAAAGCCTATTGAGGAAGTAGCCACAGGAACTGTGAAGGGGCATTTGAATTAAGGCAATGCCAGCACTGAAAGGCATGTTAAATATAATATAAAATAACTCCCCCAGTTTTCCTTTTTTTTTTGAGATGGAGTCTTGCTCTGTCGCCCAGGCAGGAGTGCAGTGGCGTGATCTTGGCTCACTGCAAGCTCCACTTCCTGGGTTCATGCCATTCTCCTGCCTTAGCCTCCTGTGTAGCTGGGACTACAGGCGCCTGCCACCATGCCTGGCTAATTTTTTGTATTTTTAGTAAAGACGGGATTTCACCGTGTTAGCCAGGACAGTCTCGATCTCCTGACCCCGTGATCCTCCCAGCCTGTCCTCCCAAAGTGCTGGGATTACAGGCGTGAGCCACCGTGCGCAGCCAGTAACTCCCACATTTTTCAGATGAGGAAATGGAGGCCTAGAGAGTGGAAGCCTTCTGGTAGTGGTCATTGGCAGTCATCTCACGTTATTATTTTTTTTCTTTCTAGAATCTATTGACTGTTGGAAGGGCTGGCAAATGGAGCATTTGATATCTGATGACCTTAAAATCTCTCATCAAACTAACTTTCTCATCTTTTCCATGACTACCTGCATTCTAAAATAACTTAAAGCCTAAAAACACTTTTATTCTTCAAGTTTTAGAAAAATAAAACTACTTTGTATATAACATTGGATTCATCCTCTCATTCATATCTAACATTGAATACACTGGGTTTTTCTCCTTTGAGACAGGGTCTCACTATGTTGCCCAAGCTGGTTTTGAACTCCTGGGCTCAAGCAATCCTCCTGCCTTGGCCTCCTAAACTGCTGGGATTACAAGTGTAAGCCACCATGCCCAGCAATGCTGGTTGTTAAATCATGAATTGTGCTGAATCTTCCATTTTTCAGATGTATATTTTTATTTAAACCAATTGTTTAAGAGGTGAGTAACTTGGACAAAGGCATGGCTCTATTTCTCCTTCAGGATGAAGTAGTGATGGAATTATTTGAGAACAGTCTTTTAAAGACAGGGACTCAGAGGTTCTGGGTCATTGAAGGTAAGTAATCTTAACAGCTTAGGATGGAAATAACCTTTGAGCTTCAAAGTTCTCTGATTAGAACATTAAAAAGGATCTGATGAGGAACACAGAAGGAAATGTAATATCCTGGGGTCTTGAAGGAACATTACCTGAGTGACATTCTTAGGCCCGAACGTAAAAAACACACACAGTTTGTTCCTTCAGTGTTGACAGTACATTATCAATGTGATGAGATGAGCAAGTATTATTTTTGCAGAGGTAGAAGAAATAAAAATGAAATATCTGGGGTGTGATTATCAATGATCATATTTGACTCTGTCAACGACTGAATTTAAAGGTATGGCTGCCTCCTATGTTTCTTACCTTTGCAGGGGCCTGATTCAGATCCCTATCAAATCAGCTTGGGTTATTTATTGAAAACCCTTTCATTGTTCATGTTTCCAAAGATTCAAACACTGGGGATAATTTTTCTACTACAAAACAATCAATAATCTGACTGCAGCTGACTTTCCCACTCATGACAGCAGTCAATTTTCAACTCTTCTGGGGATGTTTATCTAGTTGCCTGATGCTTCAGGCCACTTGATGACTTCCATTTGCTACTGGCCTTTAGGGTCTTTATCTTCCTCATTACCACCTCCATCACAGGGCCACAGGAGAATGGAAGAAACTGGCAGAAAATCAGTTTGCTTTCTGGTTGTTAGAAGCTTTGTGGAAAGGTCCAGTGGGAGCTGGGGTAGAAAAAAACAGTTGATTCTACTGAGCCATGACGAATTATCACCTATAGATTTTTCTCTTTTTTTTTTCTGTCTTCCCCATCCTTGCATAGAGTTGAGAACAGACTTAGTGATCCACAAAACTCTCTGGATTCACAATATCAAATGATGTCCAGTACATCAACCCATATAGTAAGTATAGTAGGCAGGTAGAATAAACAAAACAGAAACAGAACACAGGGAGGCCTGCAGAAGATTAGCATAGGTGCTTCCATCTAATTAACTTCTGAGGTTGAGTCAAAACTGAAGGCTTTTCCCTACTAACCAGTGGTATGATAGAATATTCATAAATTTCACTGCTCATACAGATGTCTTGGACTTTTCCTCTGTTTTTGCATGAATCTCTGTTTAGAAACTGCTCAGGTCTCAGATTTACCAATACCAAATGGAATAGGGATAGATGTTCAAACTCTCAGTCATATACTAGTGAATGGTCTTTTCATTATCACCAATACCTTGCTGTCCCCACTTGATGTTTCCATGCAAATGTGGAATCTAAAGGAAATAATAGGCATTGAACAGTCAGAATAATTGAATATACTTGTTCTAAATAAAGACCAAGGCTACTGTGTGTGTTATGTTGGCATGCATGTTTTCAGTGAAGGTGATCAAGAGGGAAAAAGAGTCCCCCATAAGAACACTAGGAGGCAAGGATCATAGAGTTAAAGAATGATTTTCATATTCCAATGGAATACTTACTGGTTTATAGATCTTGGGTAAGTCATTGCACATCTTGCTGAGAAACCCAAAGTCTATGAAGATTAAGAACACCTGTTCTTTCTTTTACAGAATTGGTGTGAGGAATAAATGGGATGATGATTTGATTGCGTCTAGCCATGTGACAAGCACTTAATGGGTGTTCAGTAAATGTCTGCAGATTCTGAATGATGGCCCTAAAGGGTCTGATTTCAGCAGGCCCAGGAGCTTGAAGTCAAGCCCAGGCATACATTCTGGAGTATATAAGAGTGTAAGAAATCTATGGAGGTAGGATATACTGTATTTACACAATGAGAAGTATGATCTAAATCACACTCAGATTTCTGTTTTCCCAATCTTATATCATTTTTGATGGAGAATAGGAATGTTTTTCTAAAACTGAGATATTCCATTAAACCATTAAAGTACAGCCAGAGAGGAAAGAGCTTCTGGTTGAAACGAAAAGCTGATTCTTCGTGTGTGTACCAGGATAGGTCAGAAGCCCTAGTTATCAGGTCCTCTAAACAGTGTATTAGAAAGTTCACCAGAACATGAGCTTTATGAGACAGGAGAGTTTTGTGTGGGTTTTTCCACTGCTGTATCTCCAGAGCATAGAACAATGCCTGACACATAGTAGAAGCTCAATACATGTGTTGCATGGATGAATGAGTGTTCACATTCACCATTCCAGACAGAGCATCATAACTAATACCTGTACATTGCTTTGTAGTGAAATTGTCATGGAGTGGGAATATGGACTCTAGAAAAGGCATGGTTATGAGAGGAAGAAAAGTTTACGGTAGTTTCAAAATTATGACCACAGAAAGAAAATTCGACTGGTAATGCCTTTCGCTTTTCCTTAAGCTCAAGAAAAGAAATAAAAACATATGAACTGCCATGGGATATACTGTAAGTAACATTTTAATGGGACAAGATTAACTGCTATGAACTTTACTGACAACAATACTAACATTTTCTATCTTTTTATTGTTTAGCATTTATGTAGTCTGATTCCAACAGAGTGAAGCTCTCTATTAAACTTGTCTGTGGGGATTGGGGAAGAATTTTATTTATTTATTTATTTATTTATTTTTTACAAACAGGACTTAAGTTACTTTAAAATTCTTTTCTGCCTCCTTTCTTTTTGGCCTCCTTTTTACAAATTTACTTCCTACCCCTGAAATCTGTTTCCAACCTCCAGCCTCTTGTGGGTTTCTCACAGTACTTGGCAGGTACTTCTGACAAAGATCGTGATTCTGTGACTTGCAGCCATGTTGGTCCTGAACTGGCTAGATCCTGGCAAGCAGGCCCCAGACTCCTGTTAAAAAAAGTGTAAGAGGCTTCCTGTCAGAGACAGAAGTTGTCTGGTTTATAAATCTTCTTGTCTCTGGAGCCTTGTGTCAATTTCTACTATTCTGACTCTTTCCTTGGACTTGGCTTCCTATTTAGCTTCTAGAGTCTGCTATTGGTTACTTGTCAGGCTCTGACCTATTATCTCATTATTATCTGCAATTGCCATGGACTTCCTATATCTAGACTATTTTCCTGACATGTTCCTATATTCTGCTTCTATAATCTGTCTCCATTTACAGCTATATTTCCATGTTTTTCCATGGCTTATGGTCCCCTTGCTGAATATCTGCATATATTTGCTACTCCAAACTCTGCCCAAGCCCCAACAGAGGGAAACATGCACGGTAAGATCAGCCCAAATACATAAAAATTGAAAAGGGAGTAAAAGCAGTTCCAACTAGCAATATTACACCCCCCGCCCCCGCCCATTATTTATAGAGTTAGGGAAATGGTGTCTTCAATCTCTAGAAATCTCTTCTGTAAGAACTCTGGTCTTGGAAGCTTCATCCAGCTTTAAATCATCTTAAAAATGAACCTGCCTGCTTGGAGATGCTGGTCTATCTATGAGTGAAAGGACAGAAGACTAATGGTTTGCAAAGTTCTATCTTCCCTTACAAAAAGAAGAGTTTCCCTCATCTCGAATGTGATGGTTAATTTTATCTGTCAACTTGACTGAGCCATAGAGTGTCCAGATATCTGGTCAAACTTTATTCTGGGTGTGTCTGCGATGGTATTTTGGGGTAAGATTAACATTTGAATTGGTAGACTGAGTAAAGCAGATTGCCCTACCTAATGAGGATGGCCCTCATGCCATGAATTGAAGGCTTAAATAGAAAAAAAGGCTGACCCTTCTGAGAGTAAGAGGGGACCCTTCCTGCCTGACTACTTGAACTAGGACATCAGTATTTTCCTGCCTGCAGACTTGAACTGAAATATCAGCTCTTCTTGGATCTCAAGCCTGTGGCTTTTGGACCAGAACTTGTACCATCAGCTCTCCTGGTTTTCAGGACTTCAGACTTAGATTAGAACTATACCATCAGCTTTCCTAGGTCTACCGCTTGCAAGTCTTAGGACTCTAAGCCTCCATAATCATGCAAGTCAATTTTTTAATAATAAGTGTCTGCAGAGGCCCCTGACTAATATACCTATTAGCATTTATGTAGTCTGATTCCAACACAGTGAAGCCCTCTATTAAACTTGTCTGTGGAGATTGGGGAAGAATTTTATTTATTTATTTATTTATTTATTTATTTATTTATTACAAACAGGATTTAGTTACTTTAACATTCTTTTCTGTCTCCTTTCTTTTTGGCCTTCTTTTTACAAATTTACCTCCTGCCACTGAAATCTGTTTCCAACCTCCAGCCTCTTGTGGGTTTCTCACAGTACTTGGCAGGTACTTCTGACAAAGATCGTGATTCTGTGACTTGCAGCCATGTTGGTCCTGAACTGGCTAGATCCTGGCAAGCAGGCCCCAGACTCCTGTTAAAAAAAAAGTGTAAGAGGCTTCTTACACAGTAAAGTCTAGCTGCTCCATGAATAGCACAAGAAAAGATGAAAGAAAGTCTCAAGCAGTCTTAGTAGACTAAGAAAATATTTCAAATTAGGGTGATTTTGGAGAAAGAAATTTTTGTGAATGATTAAGAGACCTGTAATCCTGACTCAATTTATGTGTGACATGACTTTGGGTAAGTCACCTCCCTTGTATTACTCCCACTTAATAAAGAGAGAAATTATTCTAATGAACTCTCACTCTATGCCTATGCCATAGTAAAGCTAAAAAAGTAAAGCAACTAAATCATCACTAATATGCAATAATATCAACTCCCAACATTTCTTTCTTTTAGCCAAGAATCATTTATTAATCATCCCTGAAACTATTCATACCAAATACAACACAAATCCCTTGCTTTCTTTGGTATCTTTTAAACAGAAATGGGGGATGCAATGCCTTTCAGGAATAATGGTCTTTGTGGTCATGACAATTACACAGAATTATGTGTTGGAAGTGGGTACCCAGATACTATGAAAAAAGTCTAGCTGCAGATAATCAAAAAGCACTGTAAATAATGGTATTTCAGTATATGGGATAAAATTTGGTATTTTATCTCTAAACTCGCTGATGGATATGAAAACAAAAATTAGCCAATTATGCTAATTATAGAAATTATAGCTTATTAAGGTTCATACCAAAGCTGATTTGACAGAATCCTCCAGTACAGACACCATTCTGAAAAGATCAGTAGCAATGGATTTTGTCAGAATGAGAAGCAAAATGTTGGGTGAGCAGGAAACATAGGTCACTAACACCATGTCATAAATTTGTTTAACATAATCACTGCCTTGGCATTCATTTTTTTGGCCTGACATAAGTTATTGGTAACCTAGTCATGCCCCCATCACCTTTGACCTAGTTAAAACTTCCACTCCTCATGTGTTTGTTTGTAATATAGTTCACAAATTCCGCATCTCATTAACCCAAACCCCAGAACACTCCACAGCTGGTAATCATGATAAACCTAATGAACACCAGAGTCATGTGAATAAGATCCTTCTTCACGTGCGTTTTCTTTAAACAAGCCAATCCACAATTCTCACGGGAAAACCTAAGACATAATGCCCATGGACCTTAATAAAGCCATAGTCCCACAGGTATACCCACTTTCTCACTCCCCACCCACTGGTTGAGCACTCTGCTGTCTCTAGGCTTCCTATTAGCCTCCTGTTGGCACCCTCAACCTCTTGAACCTGTGAGTAATAAACTTCTTTCATTCCATGCATTTTGGTTTTACTTCCTCATTGTGTCTCACCTGACACAAACATACCATAGTGTTCCTCTCAATATTATTTAACAGCTTTCATAATCATAACATACCATTTCCACAAGAAACAGTTATAAGAGCATTCCTGGATGCATCAGTGCCCCTGCAGCTTCATTGAGACTGTACTTCTGCCATGATACCCTCCTTCCAACTCTTGAAACCCTCCTCACAGGTCATAGTCCAGTTCAAGCCCAATCTCCCTTATGAAGCACTCTCTGTCCACTGAAGTCCCCCTGTGATTTTATCCATCTACATGATTTGTCTCCAGCACTTATTTGGCACTTGAAAGAAGCAGAGATGTCACAAGGTAATGTATCTTCTCTTCAACACTTCATGGCTTGGCTAATTACTTACAGAAAAACTTTGGACAGATTGCTGGACCCTTTCAGGGCCTTCATTTCTTTATATTTTAATTGAAGAATTTGAATAAAAGCTGTGGTTTTCAAGCATTTTGTTTTGGTCATGGAACCCTTTCTGCTAACAATATAAGTAGAACTAAATAAGATAAAAAAGTTAAATAAAACAATAAATAAAGTTAAATAAAACAAGGCCATGAAGCTAGAGCCTCCTAGGTGTAAAGAAATGCCCTAAACTCTTTTTCAATAGTTTGAGGCCCTTCTATGGAACCCTAAAAAAATTCTATGAAAAAGTACAAAAACCACTGGACTAGATTATTTCTAAGAACCCCTTTCAGTCCTTATAGTCTATGCTTGTTGTTTTTTAATTTTGAGTTTCTCATTCTTGACCATCATGGAACCCTATAGTCAATGCTTCTATGTGCATGTGTAGAGTCCTGGCTGGATTGAAAGTTTCTTAATGGTGGTTATTGTGTAGGACATTGAATTTCTAGATTACATATTGCCTTGTGGAGAGAGATTGCTACATTAAGATATTTGGCACTGCACTCCAGCCTGAGTGACAGTGAGACCATGAAGAAAGAAAGAAAGAAAGAAAAGAAAGAAAGAGAAACAAAAGAAAGAAAAGAAAAAAAAGAAAGAAAGAAGAAAGAAAGAAAGAGAAGGAAAGAAAGAAAAGAAAAGAAAAGAAAAGAAAAAGAAATTTGGGTCAAGGAGGAGGATAAGCTTCCACGGAGGCATTTAGTTTTCTGTTCGTCTGAAGAAATTTCTTGCCTTTTTCCTGGACTAGGGAGATAGAAGCAACAGTTACCATATTTCTGCCCTTGATCCTAAGACTCTGAACTTGCCCGTTAGTGACCTTCTCTAAGTTTTGGCCTTCTAGAAGCTCTATTCTTGGTAGTATTGGAAATTGCTCCACCTATAGGGTGAAGATAATTCAAGTGTTCTTTGAATCAAATCTTACTGATGTAATTTGAGAAACAGATCCTGTCTCCTCTAAGAGGAAAGGAAAACGTGTGTGTGTGTATGCACATGTGTATGCATGATTGGGGAGTTTTTTAAGTTTAGTTATGCTTCATCTTTCAAAATACATGGGCCAAAGTTTAACTACGTAGGTTTGATAATAGGAGCAAACACCCTCAGCCCTGAGAGCAGATTATGTTTAAGTTTCAGACCAAATAACAAATTATCTTTCTAGATTCTCTTTTATGAGTACCTCAAAGTTATTTCTTTTCTTTTTTGAGGCGGAGTCTCGCTGTGTCGCCCAGGCTGGAGTGCAGTGGCGCGATCTCGGCTCATAGCAAGCTCCGCCTCCCAGATTCACGCCATTCTCCTGCCTCAGCCTCCTGTGTAGCTGGGACTGCAGGCGCCCGCCACCACACCCGGCTAATTTTTTGTATTTTTAGTAGAGACGGGGTTTCACCGTGTGAGTCAGGATGGTCTTGATCTCCTGACCTCGTGATCCACCCACCTTGGCCTCCCAAAGTGCTGGGACTGCAGGCATGAACCACCATGCCCGGCGGAGTACCTCGAAGTTATTTCATACTGCAGAGCTCATCATATCTCAGAATATAGGTTGATTCACTGCATCAGTGCAGTGACTATTATATACTTATGATATTTGCATACTTTACTTATTCCATACATATAAATCACAGAGGTTTACTTTCAGGGAGAAAAACCTTAGAGAACATCAACAAAGAATGTATGGGATCTCTATCCCAGGTGTGGGACTCAAATCCTCCTAGCATTAAGCAAACTGGTTGACTTCTCAAGGTCCCTCGAATATCCCCATGTACATATTTCTTTTCTTCTTGCTAGCAAAGTGGTGACTTGTCTTTTATTGTTGGCCTGAATAATTAGTTTCATGCAAGTTTAAAACTGGAAGGAATACTCAAGTCAAAGCTCCTTATTCACTGTATACAAACACAGGCCCAGAAAGATGCTGTGCTAGTTATTAGAAAAGCTGGGACAAAACTTAGTGCTTTTAACTTTTTTTCTTTTTTTAAAGTTTAAGTTCTAGGGTACATGTGCATAATGTGCAGGTTTGATAAATAGGTATACATGTGCCATGTTGGTTTGCTGTATGCATCGACTCGTCATTTACATTAGGCATTTCTCCTAATGCTATCCCTCTCCCAGACCCCCACTCCGTGACAGGCCCTGGTGCGTGATGTTCCCTGCACTGTGTCCATGTGTCCTCATTGTACAACTCCCACCTATGAGTGAGAACATGCGGTGTTTGGTTTTCTGTCCTTGTGATAGTTTGCTTAGAGTGATGGTTTCCAGCTTCATCCATGTCTCTGCAAAGGACATGAATTCATCCTTTTTTATGGCTGCATAGTACTCCATAATTTATATGTGCCACATTTTCTTAATCCAGTCTATCACTGATGGACATTTGGGCTAGTTCCAAGTCTTTGCTATTGTGAATAGTGCCACAATAAACATACATGTGCATGTGTCTTTACAGTAGCATGATTTATAATCCTTTGGGTATATACCCAGTAATGGGATCACTGGCTCAAATGGTATTTCTAGTTCTAGATCCTTGAGGAATTGCTACACTGTCTTCCACAATGGTTGAACTAATTTACATTCCCACCAACAGTGTACAAGTGTTCCTATTTCTCCACATCCTCTCCAGCATCTGCTGTTTATCTGTTGCTTTTAACTTTTAATTTGTTGAATTTTCTGCTGACAAAAGCTTCTTGCCTTTCAGCTTTTAGTTATTTTAAAATATGCAATGTATTATTGACTCTTGTCACCCTCTTGTGCTATCACATAGTAGGTATTACTTATTTTTTCTATTTTTTGTGCCAATTAACCATCCCCACCCTCTCCCCATCTCCCCATTACCTTTCCTAGCCTCTAGTAATCATCCTTCCATTCTCTATGTCCATTAGTTCAATTGTTTTGATTTTTCGATCTCACAAATAAGAGAGAATATGTATATAATGTCTTTCTGTGCCTGGATTATTTCAATTAACAAAATGATCTCTAATTCTATCCATGTTGTTGCAAATGGCAGGATCTCATTCTTTTTTCTGGCTGAATAGTACTTTATTGTGTGTATGTACCACATTTGCTTTATCCATTCATCTGTTGATGGACACTTAGGTTGCTTCCAAATGTTGGCTATTGCGAATAGTGCTGCAACAATCATAGGAGTGTAGGCATCTGTTTGATGTACTGATTTCTTTTCTTTGGGGTCTATACCCAGCAGTGGGATGTTTGGGTTGTACAGTAGCTTTATTTTTAGTTTTTTGAGGAACCTCCAAGCTGATCTCCACAGTGGTTGTAC